ATGAAAAAGAACATGATCAGACCAGGGACTGCCTTTGAGCTCCTTGAGGCTCAAGCCGCCACAGGATACGTTATTGATCCTATCAAGAACCTGAAACTAAATGTCATTGAAGCTGTTAAGATGAGTGTTGTCGGCCCAGAGTTTAAAGATAAGCTCCTCTCAGCTGAACGAGCAGTCACAGGCTATAAGGACCCTTATTCTGGCAAGATCATCTCACTATTCCAGGCCATGAAAAAGGGCCTCATTCTGAAAGACCATGGCATTCGTCTGCTAGAGGCTCAAATTGCTACGGGTGGAATCATTGATCCACAGGAGAGCCATCGCTTGCCAGTTGAAGCAGCATATGAACGTGGCCTCTTTGATGAGGAAATGAATGAAATCCTCACTGACCCCTCTGATGACACAAAGGGCTTCTTTGACCCCAACACTGAGGAAAATCTCACCTACCTGCAGCTGATGGAGAGATGTATGACAGACCCAGAAACAGGCCTTAGTCTTCTGCTTCTGAAAGAGAAGAAGCGCGAGAGAAAGACATCATCCAAGTCTTCTGTCCGCAAGCGTAGGGTCGTCATCGTCGATCCAGAGACGGGCAAAGAGATGTCTGTGTATGAGGCATACCAGAAAGGGCTCATTGACCACCAGACCTATATGGAGCTCGCAGAGCAGGAGTGTGAGTGGGAGGAAATTACCATCACCTCATCTGATGGAGTTGTGAAATCCATGATCATTGACAGAAGGTCTGGGCGGCAGTATGACATAGATGATGCACTCTCAAGAGGACTGATTGACAAGTCAGCTCTGGATCAATACCGTGCAGGAACGCTGTCCATCACAGAGTTTGCAGACATGCTGTCTGGAAACACGAGCGGCAGCAGATCACGTACATCCTCCTTTGGCTCCTCTTCCTCTTACCCCATGAGCCCAATACCTTCTATAAAAGTCCCAGCAACCACATGGAACGACCCTACTGAAGAAACTGGCCCTGTGGCTGGAATCTTAGACACAGAAACCCTGGAGAAGGTGTCCATCACAGAGGCCATACACAGAAACCTGGTGGACAATATAACAGGTCAAAGGCTGCTGGAGGCTCAGGCATGCACAGGAGGTATTATCGACCCAAATACTGGAGAGAAATTCACCGTTGCAGATGCAATGAACAAAGGGCTTGTGGATAAAGTCATGGTGGACCGCATCAGTCTAGCCCAGAAGGCGTGCAATGGATTTGAGGATCCCAGAACCAAAGACAAAATGTCAGCAGCCCAAGCTCTAAAGAAAGGCTGGCTGTACTATGAGGCCGGACAGCGATTCCTTGAGGTCCAATATCTCACTGGTGGTCTAATTGAACCAGATGCTACCAGCAGAGTGTCCATAGATGAGGCAGTGAAGAAAGGCTCCTTAGATGCACGCACTGCACAGAAGTTACGAGATGTTAGCGCATACTCAAAATACCTTACATGCCCTAAAACCAAGCTTAAGATCTCCTACAAGGATGCTATGGAAAGAAGCATGGTAGAGGAAGGGACAGGCCTGCGATTACTTGAAGCCTCATCCCAATCCAGCAAAGGCCTTTACAGTCCTTATAGCGTCAGCGGCTCAGGCTCCGCCTCTGGGTCACGTTCTGGCTCAAGAACTGGCTCCAGGTCAGGCTCCAGGAGAGGCAGCATTGATGCCACAGGTTCAACAACGACTTTCTCTTCCACTGCCTATAGTTCGCCAAGCTATGGCCGCCGATACTGATGGGTAAAGGAATGATTTCCAAGGGAAGGATACACTATAAAGCCACATTGCTCACCAGATACTTCTCAGTAGAGTAAAGACTACCATTATTCTGCTCTGCATGTGGTTGTTACATGACTTTTAATATTTAATTTTCTACAAGTTAAATATTTCTTTATTGTAATTGTCTCATTTACTTTAACATATGTTTATGCTCAGACTTTCTGATTACTGTACTGTAAGCAGCATATGCAACAGCTGTTTTTTTCAAAAGTGCACATAATATTCTTTTGGTTTATAATACCATAAGCATTTACTGTTCCACAAACAAAATTCTATTTACGATATTGTACTTGGTGCACTATAACTAAAACTGTTCATTACCATTAGCCTGACTGTTAAGGAGAACCAATTGGGTTTTAAAAGATATATTGTACATGTGTATATTTCTGCAAAAAAAAACGTTAGTTAAAGAAAGATAAATGACCCCCTGCAGAGCAGAATAAGGATTCTCCCCAAGATGAAAAACATTATAAGTGTCTGCTTTAAGAATGCCAAGCTTCAAGATCTTTTTCTGGACTAAACTGCTGCCCCATATACTCTTCCAATATACTCCATTCCCAGTTGTCTGTCATATAACCTGGAGTAACAGCAACATCCTAACCTTACAAAATGAACCTCCAAAGAGCAATCTACCATAAATGGAAGAATCATGTATCCTATTATAACACAATCCGACAGTTCCTGACGTTACACATCCAACCTCAAGACCAACACAAACAAGTCCCTGCCTTTCTGAGCACTTTAAAAGGGTAGGTTTCTTTGTCATATCTGATTTTAGTGTGATTTCTTTGTATGTTATATTTAGTGCCCATAACGTTGTTGTTCAATGTTTGTTTTTTTCTGTTTCAGATTTTGTCTTCACAGTTCAGTTTGTCTCTAGCTCCTTGTTCAGATGTCTTCCAGAGACCTGTGGCATCCACTTGGACTGTGAAATGCACTGTCATCAAGGATTGTATGCAACATAACAGAAAAACACTCGCTCATACTGTATGAAGATCATCAGATTCATTTAACTGTTGACCATTTTGAAACTTGCATCCAAACTCATTTAAAGGCTTGAACCATGCTTTGTAAGTGCCTGCGAAATACTCTAAAACACTCTAATGTGATGTGGAGTATTGTAAACATGGTGCAGTGGTTACATTGGCTAATGCATGTGTGAGAGAGCAATGCTACCCATAATGGAATGATTACTGTATTATCAGGTAAGCCTTTTTACAATCAAGTCCACTGCAGTTCCTTTCAGCGTCATAAATATAGTCGTCACACAGGGCTTAAATATATGGTTTGAATGTTTAATAGCTAAGATTTAGAATATTTGAATAATGTTTCCCTACATAGACGATGTCAAATATGTACTGTACATTGATCATTATCTCGTGCACTTGCTAAAAGCCATGAATAAACATTTCTTTGAGAAAGATCTTTAAGCTTCGCCACCAGACCCAGTATTTGTATTTTCCACACAATATACTTGTTTTGATTTAAATCTCCTTTGTAAAGCAACACATGTGATCTATATCATTTTATTTTCTTACGCTATATTTCTGCTTTGCATGATTTTACTAACATTTAAAAAGGTGCAAAAACAAAATAGTTATATCCATTTATGCATTTGTTTTATTATTACGTTTCAAAAGGTTTGAAGGATGTATTTTAATGACGGTTGTCAAGCCTTGTTGAAAAGGGTGTATTTATAATAAAATGGTGACAAAGAATTTTATTGTAACACCTTACGCTATGTAAATAAAGATGGAAATTAAAGGTTTGTTTCTCAAGTTTATTCATTTTCAATTAAATCTGATGACAATAGGTAATAGTATGGTTATTTCAGATAATAGATGAATAGAACCAACACCTATACTCGAGGCTCCATGTTTCCTTGCATTATTTCACTGTCTAAAAAGAAGCTACTTATTTTGCCATTCCGTATATGGCAGCAGAATATCAGAGAATGAATTAATGTAATTAAACAATGAATATCTGTAAACAAATGAAGTATTTAGATACAGTATGTTACTCATGTAAAGGTAATTATTAAAACTTAAAAATCCTCCATTACAAGTAGTAATATTAGTAAAAGTACGGACGTATTACCAGACAAATGTACTCAAAGTATATAAAGAACTTATTGGGTATATCCCTTGGCAGTGTGTTTATGTTCTATATAATAATAATTGCTTTTGCAGAAGTTTAATGTATTTACTGTAAGTGAATTAAATACATATAAATAGGTCATTTATAGTTTACAGTCTGCTCATGATGCTTTTTTAAATTCTGCAATATGTAAAATTCAAATAAATATCGTAAATATGGAGCAGAATTAGCATGAAATGCAAAACATTACACTCAAATAAACTACTCCCATGACATCGCTGTTTCAATAGTCCCGACATATCCCCCTGGAGATTTACAATTGGCAACAACAGCACAGCAGTTTGACCTGGGTCTGTATTGTGAATGGCTCAAGCTTATGGCAAGCCGATTTAGCTTTTCTTCATTTCTGGAGGATATCAACAAATCTATTCTTACTAGTAAGAATGCAAATTCTTGATATCAAAAATGCAATACTCACTAGTAATAATGTTTATTTCTGATATCAAAAATTGAATTTTAACTAGATGGAATGCACATTTTTTTATATCAAAAATGTAATTCTTACTAGTTATAATTCAATTTTTATTTATAGTTACAATTGAATTGTGGAAATTGAATTTCTGATATCAACAATTGGCATTTTGACTAGTTGAAATTGAATTCTTGATATTAGAAATTAGTATTTTTACTTGTTCAAATGTAATTGTAACTAGTTAAAATCGCATTTCTGGTATCAGAAATACACATTACAACTAGTTACAATTGAATTTCTGATATCAAGAATTTGCATTCTAACTAGTTAAAATTACATTTTTGATATCAGAAATAAACATTATTACTAGTAAGAATTGAATTTTTGACATCAAGAATTTGCATTCTTACTAGTAAGAATTGATTTTTTTATATCCTCCAGAAATGAATAAGCTAAATCGGCTTGCCATAGATAGTAATAAGGCTCTTAAGTGGTCTCTCATGAAAATGATACATTTATACAGAGTTCACACTGGGTCGTGATTTGAACCCCCTCAGCCTTCATACTTGGAGAAGGCAGTTTACTACGCAGTCGGTGAACATTTAATTTAAGACGCAATTTAGAGCATTATTGTTATCAAACAACAGGCAACATGTCCTTATCTAAAGAGCACCTGCCGGTGGCCTCTACCGCCGGCCGACAGCCGAAATGCACCCGGTGCCGACACCATGGGATCATCGTCCCGCAGAAAGGCCATGTGAAGTCCTGTCCTTTCGTCACATGTGAGTGCTGGAAGTGCTACCTTATCACACAGAGGACCAGGATCACGGCCGTCCAGAGAAATCTGAAGAAAGTCCCGAATAAAGAGCAGCCACCCAGTGCGGTGAAACGGCAGGCTGAGGGGACTTTTACCAACTCGGCCCCGGAAGGAGGCGCTCGCCCGTCGGGCACATACGGACTAATGTGTCCTCCGTCAGACGGGGCCCCGGAGCGAGCCGCCAGCACCGCCTGGAGCCCTCATGACCCCCGGAGCAGAGCCGCCGCGGCGGGAGGGGAGGAGGTGTCCGGTGTGGACAGCTGGAAGGTGCTGTCCTTCGCTTCCAGTGCAGAAGGACCATGTCCACCTTTTGGTAAGTCTTTTTTTATCTCTTGATTTGTGTTTAAAATGTGTATTGAAACAACTTCAAGTTAGCTACACTGAGCTGATACTGTAATAATAATATTATAAATAATACATTTTATTTATCAAGCGCTTTATCATGTGCTCAAAGACGCTTTACAGAGGTAAAAAAAAAGATAAGTTAACATCGAGCAATAAAACCACATTTATCTCAAGCACACGGCATCAATCACAAATTAAACAATGTAAGATAAATATTGAACAGAACAGCAGAAGAGACCAACTTCTTAAAATAACAACAAAACAATGAATAATGTTTCACTTCTTAGACCAACAAAACAAATGTTTAAAAATAAATAAAATGGCTGACCATACTTTAAAGCAAAAGTTATGTTGCCTACATGGGCATTATGCGAGTACAACAATATATTTTTGAGAATTTTGTATAAAAAAGGAACAGTTTTGTCTAAACACGCGATAAATGTTATTCAAGTTTTACTGAAAATGATATGTAAGAGAAAACACTTTCGAATTTTGTGATGGCATTAACGGCCATGAATGGAACACCTGCAGCTTCCTGCGTGGGACAGCTCATGGGCAAGCTATGCAGCTGCAGTGTCACGCGCGCGCACACACATAAATGTTGCAAGAGAGTGGCGCGAAAAACGAGGGATAGTTTGCTGAAAAAAGTATCTCTCTTTTTGCTTTTTTAAATCACTAATAACCTATAAGTTAAAACCTAATTTAATGTAATGGAATAACATAGCACAGAACAGTAAAGTGACAACACATCAAATTGATATAATTAATAAACAAAATAGTTATAAGAGAATAGTACATTAAAAAAACATAAATTAAATCCAAAAATGAATCTGCAGCTAAGATCAATCAATCATCAATGTATAGTTTAATTTGTGTTCGGGTCTCCCGTGACCCTTTCCAAGTGAAAATTATATATATAATAACTACCCTTTAGTTTTTTGTATCGGAACAAGGCTTCATGATATCCTCAACAGCTATATAAACAGTATAAAACTGATTTTGACAATTTTAGCCAAGTCTGAAGGTCTCTAAAAAAAAAAAGGTGTATAATTTGCAGCATTGTTGTGGGTGACTCGGGGTCAAATTTGGCCCATCTTTGACTTTAGACACCCCTCCCCCTCCCCCACCCCCTTCATACACTGTAACAATAATTTGTTCGCAACATGCACCTGGTCTGTCCCCCCTCTGTCCCCCCTCCCCCCACGGGAACTCAACCTTTCTCAAAGAATATGTACACTAACGGGCCGTCTCCACAGCAGCGTTAAAAAATGTATAACATTTATAACACTTGAACCTGAACTCACACATGCACATAAGCACTCAAACACGCACACACACACACACACACATGCACACACACACACTTTATCTTGCGTGGCATGAACAACATTGTCCAACAAAAGCTTATTTTTGTTATACCTTTTTCTAGCATGAATCTATATGGGTCCATTTGTACCTGTAACACCACAGAAGTTACTATAGTTCATAATATAAAATTGTATTCTAATATTAGTCTATAGTCAGATAACATCATTATCCACTGTCTTCACTTTAGGGAATATAATGAATGAATTTAATCAAATGTGTTACTTAAATATGTAATGTGTTTTGGGGCCATCAAATCAAATGACTACAGGATTGTACGGTTATGAATGCATAATAAGTTAGTTATGATGTAGATAAAACAATATTGGATGATAGTCATTCTTTTTGAGTGTTTTGGACTGAGATAAATCATGGGTCAGAATGTACCCGCGAACACCATGAACGGTAACAGCTTTCCAACACAACCCGAGGGTTAAGAAGGCACATCTTTTACTTTAACTCTATAGCAACACATTTATAAATGATGATGTCATGTGTTATGACCTGGCTCAAAAGGCCACAACAAAGAGGAGACACAACATGTCAACGGTTAACAAAATATGTTTATTTAAAGCAAGTGAATCAAGTTAGCCAAATTAATCAAGTGTAACACAAGAAGAACATGAGGTGTGAACGTCAGTGGTATCAGTAATGTAACTGCATGGTGAGGATTGCATGAAAATGTATGGGTGAGGGTGTTGAGGTGCACAAAGTCAAACAACTGAAATAACTAATGACATACTCAACCGAACCGGGTGCCTGTATCAGAAAGCAGAGAGCCAACAGAGAGGAGCAGAGAGGCTTTAAGTAGCTGCAGAGCACCAGACCCAGGTGCCCTGAATCACTGCAATCAGTGCAGCCAACGCAGCACAGACAGCACAGACAGCACAGCCACACCCTCTCCACTGATGATCCCACAGGGGCACCACATGCATCATGCATTCCTGTATATTAAACTACCCTGCAATATATGACCTTAAAATGAGCACAACCTTAAACACATGCAGCAGTAAAACGTACATGTAGCATATATATATATGTATATATTATATTATATGTATATAATAATTCAGCAACTATACTAAAGATGCTGTTTTGATAAGACTCTCACAGGTCTTTGTCGGTGTTGTGGAATGGATAGGCTTACTTTTGATACTTCGACTTTTTATTTAGCTGACAATACTTGCTCACGATTTAACCTACTGTATGGGTTTAACCAAGGTTTTCAATGCATATCTTTGACTTATTGTTTTTTCAGTTTGGTATTGCTATTTACTCAAGTAAAGTCTACTTCTAACATTTAATTCAGTATTTGTTTCAGTATCCCAGGTTTCAGCCCTAGTTACGTTATTGTGTATGATGATTTACCATGTTAGATAGATTGATGCCTGAAATATAATATGGTGTATAAACTACCTCACACTAAAACACCAATCTAAAATAATCAAATGAATCTTTAGAGTAAACATGTAATATTCCAAATGAAGCTTATAAACCCTTACCTTTTCTCAGATGGTCCTTACTTCGGTGAGTTTGGTCAGACTCTGCCTATGAGCCACTTCCCCTTCAGGATGTCCGCTCCTTTCCCCGGCAGATATGCTCCATATCCAAACCTCCTGTTCAACATGCCCTGGCCGCCCCCCATGCCTGCTGGGCTTTACAACGATGGCATGCAGGGACCCCCCCTGATGTACCCCTACCTCCCTCCGGGCGCTGTGCACTACCCCCCTCCAGCAGAGCCGGCTGCTGTAAGTGGCTGTTTATCTTCCAATACTGTAGTGAAATAAACTGCTTTTAAAAAGCACTGAAAATAAATGTTCTTGTTTAATATGTCAGGATTGCAGACAGGTCTTCTTCACCCTTCAACCGCTGCCAGAGACCCTCCAGGAGGGGCTGATGTCGAGGCAGCCCCCACAGCCTCCTCTGTCCAAACACACGGAGCAGGACGCTATAGCACACACAGAGAGATAGAAGGTGGACTTTTTTATAAGTATCAAGGATTTTCCTCATTGGTTAGCAACAGTCCTGTTCAGATTGCTGCCATGAATGGCACACTGTTGGTTGTGATATATTCATATTTAAACGTGCCATTGTTGAAAAATACTGATGAAAGTCACCCTATTTTGTATTGCTTATTTTATAATAAAGTAAAGGGGATTTCAAGTTGGTTGGGTTACATTTTTTCACATCATTTTGTCCTACTTTTTTCCATGCAAGACAGCAAGGACTTGGATCCTAATGCAGTTCAGGATTTAATCCCATAATGGAGGGAACAAAGGCATCGAATTTTGACATGCCCCTTCAACATATCCAGCGACAAATGACTTATCCTCAGCTAAAATGTAGTCACATTTAAAAGTCATATAAACACTGTTTTCTGTTATTGTCCAGGTCTGGAAATATGAGTTGACTCTCCTTAAATTTATATTGTAGTTTTTCTTTTCTTTTTAGTTTAGGACCCCTAATCATGAAAACAATCCATTGCATTTGCCATCAGATTTGAATGTGTACGGAATGTAAGGTAAATAAAAGATAAGACATTAAGGGATTTGGTTTTACAGTGACCTATCATTTAATGTGTCATATTTTCTTTACCAAAACATGTAACATACTAATAACATGATAGTCTCTATTAAGAACCTAATGCTAATATATGGGTGTCTGAGGTTGAATGATCCTATGACCCCTGGTAACATTCAGCCGTACTACTGCAGAAGGATGTGAAGAATATTTTCACATTTCAGTTTCACAGATGAAGACATGCCAACTAAAGTCAGTATGCCTGGGTTTCTGTATGGCGTGCCAACATGAGTACAATACATTGTGGTACAAGCTTGGTGTGTGCCAGCAGTTCTCTGGAAAATCATGATTTAAGAGAAGCTACCAGGCTGGTTAGACTGTCCGCCTACTCAAACAGTTGAGCAATTCAAATTTGGCAAATAAAAAGATAAAACAGTGTGTTAAAACAATGAAAGGGTTCAAACAAAAAAAGACATTTAGAGTTGAGTTTCATTTTCTTCGAGCTCCCTGACCCTCTGCTGTTGTGTCCCACAGGCTGTCAGTAACTCTGAATAATTTAGAGCAGGGGTCGGCAACCCCTGGCACCGTAACCAGTGGCACACTAGGAATAAGTGGAATAAGTGCAAAATATTTAAATTGTATTTTTGGGTCCTGAACGAGACAGAGCGCGTCTCCCCGTTACCTGCAGAAGGAAGCCATGCACGCAACGCAGCCCCGCTCTCTTTAACTCCAGTCGACTTGCTGCTGCTTTCCTCCGTGGTGAAACGATCAGGGGTGATGTGCTGCCGGAGCGCGCCCGCACTTCACAAATTGCAGCAGTAATAATGCCGCAGTTTTTGCGTGGCTGTGTCTTTAGTTGAAAGCCCAGTGGCGATCTGCTCATCTCTCATCGAAAATAATATGCTACACAGGGACGGACTGGCCATCTGTGTGTTCTGGAGAATCACAGAACGGACGGTCGTCATTATTATTATGCCGTTTAAAGAGGACCTATCATGCAAAATGCACTTTTGTACGTCTTTTATACATGAATATGTGTCCCCGGTGTTCCAGGGAACTCACCAAGTGTCAGAAAACACAACCCTCTCTATTTTCCTCCATACCCAAATCTCTAAAAAAGGGGCTGCAACGGATCTGATAAAAACTGATCCAGATTTGAACACTGTCCTGACGTCAGGACGGTGGCGCTACGGCTATTGGGCCAACTCTCCACCTATCAGGGGAATGTGGGGTTGGGCCACGGCCGGCCATTGCCGCTCGAAAGCGCTGGAGACGCTGTAGTACATATGCCAGGCCTGTAAGTGGCGCTGTAGTCTGCCACAAAAGCAGCGAAGAAGACTTCCCGCCCATAGTTACCATGGTTACCCTTCTGTTTATTCTCCGCTGTGGCTTTCTTTCTCCCTCCCCGAGGCAAGCGTTTGCTCCTGCTGCTTTAATTCAATGCAATCCCTCCCCGTCGAGGCAAGCACTGTAATTCTCTCCGGTTAGTCCACCAGCAGATGACAAACACCCACCTCTCCGCCTCTTCCAAGGAACGAGGGGACCGTGCGGCAGAGTTTCAGTTTCAGTTTCTTTCGCCGGTCAAGATGTCCGTTAAAGTTTAAATCTTCCGGACAAAATTTGAAAAGTGCCGGTCAAAGGTCTTCTTTGTTATTTATTGAGCTTTAAAACAAATGAATAACGACTCTATATAATAAAACACGGAGGACGGAGATCTCTTTTTCTCCCCCTCTTCTGACAGCCCAGCAGCTGATCAGAGCACGGCTCCCCTCTCCTGCAGGGGGGCGTGGTCAGCAGAATCAGACCCGTAGACAGCAAACAGCACATAGAGCAAAATGAGGCATGGCTAAAATGCATGATCTGTTTGGTATTTTGAAAACAGAAACGTATAAATATACCTTATATAGGTATGGCCCTACAATATATCATTTAAATATAGCATGATAGGTCCACTTTAAACCAAATGTGTTTAAACCGCATTGTGTAAGTGACAACTGGCTGTTTAATTGTGCCGCCATTACGAATGCAGCCAATAAAATAGTGGTCACTGAGATCGCTACAGAAGACGCCAGTTTTGTACCTGTCAGGGTTATTTGTGAGGATGACATCAAGGAGGGTGGCTTTTTCTGGATTTTTGGTGTCATACCGTGTAGGAGTGAGGATAATCTGCGAGAGATTAAGAGAGTCCCATTGTTTTTGGACCTGCGCAGGAGGGTTGAGCATGTCCCAGTTTAGATCCCCCAGTAGCACAAACTCAGAATGAGTGTGGGGTGCCAGGAGGGTGCTGAGAGCAGGTAGGGTACATGCTGGGGCAGAGGGTGGGTGATAGCAGCCAGCGACTGTCAGTGTAGAGCTATTTGCCAGTTTAATGTTTACAATAAGTAGGTCAAATGGTTTGGGGACAGATTTACTAGTGGCGATAGAACACTGGAGGTGTTGCTTTGTGAATATAACTACTCACCAGCTTTAGATGATCTATCCTGCCTAAACACATTATAACCAGCGATGCCGATGTCAGAGTCTGGGATTATTCTTCTTCAGCCAAGACTCAGTGATGACAAGTACCTCCGGATTTGAGCTGTGAACGAGTACTTTTATCTGGTCCATTTTTGGCAGTAAGCTTAGCATTTACATGTAGAAAACCTAAAGCTTTACGAGAGCAGAAGTCAGAGAAACTCAGATCATTGTGACAAAGATTGACATCAGGGCACAGGTCAGAACTAGGGCTACATACAATAGAAGGTCCAGGATGAACATGCACATTGCTCGATGTCATCAGTAGTAATACAATCAGAGCACGGCCAAGAGCTAGTGAGTCACAATGCCTAGTTTGTTTTGTGCGCACATTAACAGTGGAATGTAACGTAATCATCTTGTGTAGAGACCTCATAATCACACATGATAGTAGTGGCGGTTCGCATTTGTTATGCGCAGGAGGGGGTAGGGAGGCAGCGAATAACGCAAGGAAAAAGCAGTACAGTTTAGGATTAGCCATTGTTAGTCCAGTGAAGGTAGGAAGCAGCACTCACCCAGAGGTCAACAGTCCTTGGTTGTCCAAGTCCTTGGTTGTTTATAGCATAAAGAACATCTGATTTAATGTGAGGTAGGGAAATAATCATTGGAGTATAAGTATGTGTATATAAATATGTAATTTACAACAGCTGTAAAATGCTTGAAAAGCTTGAAAATGCACCTTGAAAATGCTTGAAAAGTGCTTGAATCTGACCTTGGCCTCTTCTCTTTAACATCTACATGCTACCACTGGCTCAGATAATGAAAAACAACAAAATAAGTTACCATAGCTATGCGGATGACACACACATTTACGTAACAATTTCACCAGGAGACTATGCTCCAATTCAGTAAGTGCATTTAACTAATCAATGACTGGATGTGTCAGAACTTTCTCCAATTAAACAAAGATAAAACTGAGGTAATGGTTTTTGGAGCCAAGGCAGAACGTATAAAAGTTAGTGCTGAGCTTCAGTCTGCAATGTTCAAAACAACAGATAGAGCCAGAAATCTAGGTGTAGTCATGGACTCTGACCTGAGTTTCAACAGTCACATTAAAACAGTTACTAAATCAGCCTACTATCACCTAAAGAATATATCCAGGATTAAAAGACTAATGTCACAGCAGGATTTGGAAAAACTTGTCCATGCTTTTATCTTCAGTAGACTCGACTACTGCAATGGTGTCTTTACAGGCCTCACTAAAAAATCTATTAGAAAGCTGATTCAGAACGATGCTGCTCGAGTCCTCACTAACACTAAGAAAGTGGATCACATCACTCCTGTTCTGAATACTTTACACTGGCTTCCTGTGTGTCAAAGAATAGATTTCAAAATATTGTTGCTGGTTTATAAAGCTTTGAATGGTTTAGACCCAAAATACATGTCTGACCTACTGCTAAATTATGAACCATCCAGAACTCTCAGGTCTTCAGGGACTGGTCAGCTTTCTGTCCCCAGAGTCAGAACTAAACATGGAGAAGCAGCGTTCAGTTATTATGCTCCAAATATCTGGAACAAACTCCCAGAAACCTGCAGGTCCGCTGCAACTCTTACTACTTTTAAATCCAGGCTGAAGACTTTTCTTTTTGCCGCTGCTTTTAATTGAACTATTCACATCTTAAACTGCACTGTAACTTTTATCCATGTATTTTTTTTTTTTATTATCTTTTCTTTTTAATGACTGTTTTTAAATGCCATTTTCTTAATGTCTTCAATTTTTGTAAAGCACTTTGAATTGCCTTGTGTTGAAAGGTGCTATATAAATAAACTTGCCTTGCCTTGCCTTGCCTTTGGAAAAGGTGTAAGAACCCTGAGAACTGTAAGACAACTTACCTTCCTATGCCCAGACAAATGTACCAAGGTATCAAAGTAGAATAACAAAAATGGCCCTGTCTTTGAGATATTCTTGGATTGTTTAAAGGGGCCCTATTTTTCACAACTGCTTATTTTCTGGTTTGTATTAGTACTTAGTGTCTCTACTGTGACATGTTTCCATGCTTTAATGTTCAAAAAGCTCTTTATTTTTCTCATACTGCCTGTGCTGCAGCACCTCTTTTCACCCTCTGTCTGAAACCAGAGCCCAGTCTGCTCTGATTGGTTAGCTGGCCGGCTCTGTTGTGATCTGCCAGGTAAACCCAACCTCTTAGCCTTTCACATACAATGTGTGGCAGCACTAGCCAATAGATGCGTTGGAGTTACATAGTGATGTCATTATGTTACGGAAGTAAACAAACTCCCTCTTGAGGGAACACAGGGATTTGAGCATTTGCAGACCATTGTCATACCAACACCTATAACACACTACAGGGAAGCCCAACAAGCACAATAAGGCCCCTTAACATGAATTAATGAAAATGCAGGCACCATGTAAAAATCTCCTTTATTAATTCAATATGCTGTCAAGAAATTATGTGAGAAGCAAAACAACAATAATATAG